AACCACAGAATAGGGTGACGCATACACGCTAATCTGAACAAGCAGCCTTTATTTTCCTTACTTGAATTTTAACTCTGTTTGTTGCTGTATGAGAATATTGCGTCTGAAGATTAATTGCATATTAATACTTATGTGAGTAGCTATAAGTTACGGCCTTAAACAATCCATATCTTCTGAAATATTCGATGTTAATAACTGTTAAGGAACTGTGAGAAAAAATAATCGAAGGCAGCACATAATGCAACCGGAATCCCTCCTCCCAGTCCCCGCACCATCTTCCTTGCTTGTTACTCGCCTAAGCGGACAGACGGTCGCAACAGCTAAATAAGCATTCCTCCCTAACTACCGCAACCTGAAGTCAAGGTGGAAGGTGAAGGTGGAAGGTGGATGTTGTAGAGTTACATCGAAGAGGAGAGGAGCATCAAAGAGTCCCACCAGATGTGACATGAACCCCCGTGAAGAGCAAATATACCACCCTCTGTTTAACTACCATAAACTGCCTACTTATATAATTTACGTAGACAAGTTTTATTAGATATTAACCTGTGAATAAGCATAAGAAAGCGATTAAAAGTTAGGTTAAGGTTGGAGATGAGGGAAAAAGTTGGGTTTAGAATTAAGTTTGTCCGTCTAAGATTGTGTTATTCAATTCAAACTCCTATTACCTATAAACATCGGTCCTCTGTTTGCCATCTGCTAAAACGTCCCTACTTTACATATTTCATTTTGCGAATGCGGTCCAGTACCTCGTTGGTGCAATAAAGCAAGCATTTGAGAGAAAGCAGAAGAGCACTTGACAAGCCTTCGTAAGCGTTCGATAAATTCTCATTGGGCCAGGTAAACGGGCGGTCAATTAAGTTCGTCATTACATGCAAATGAGTCATTAGAATAGGAGAGGGGGTCGGGGGTAGATAAGAGGCGGCTGGTTACGCGGCAGTGAAAGTTTAATGAAGCCAGTCCAGGGGAGTGGGGAGGAGAGAGAGCGTGGAGAGGGGCCTGCAGTTAATTGACCGTTGGCCATATCAGGCACGACAATTGTAGGAGGTTCCTTTATGCGCACAAGACCGGCTACCTCAACCACATAGTGGTTGCTTCTGCTGTTGCTAGCAGATGCCGATCCAGGGACTTGAGATAATTTGGTGGGACCTTATAAATCACACGGAAGGCTTCGTTGGGGTCCATACGGTGTCCGGAATCAACAATATGCGCGAGAATAACGCTGTTTATACTCCTAACTTCATCTTTTCTCAGCCATGCCGGAGGGTGCTCCCTAATCCTTTTGGATAGGCGCTGACTCGTATGACCAATATAACCTGCTCCACAGGAGGTAAATGCACATGGAGGTGATCTGAACTGGTAATCTTTCCTTACCTTATGAAATAAATTCGCGTATTCCCAATGCCTTCCAAAGGCTCCGCTTACTGCCTCCTTCCGTTTTATAGGATGCCCTGTGTTCTATTTTCTCAGTGGACTTACATATTCGATTTACTTCGGTAGCCTGCAAAAAAACCCACGAAAGAGTTCCTCGACCCAGGCTACATTGTAGAAATACTCTACTACCAGCTACATTCTAGTAACATTTTTATATATTATTTTATTTGGAGTAGTGAGCCTACACTACTACCCAGACCGACGTGCTCCTGACGCCCTTAAAGTTATCAATATTTTATTATGCACAACCCATCGCTTACGCTCTCTGATCATCATTCTCATGCAAAGGTCTTCGCGGTCTTCCCTACTTGACTATGTGCGAACTGCGATGAATCCGTCAGCGCTAGCGTCCGCCGAATCTTGCGGCCATAGTCCCCGCGGCTCCTAAACGTTCTCTCATGGTTCGACCCGCAGCGGACTGTTGACGATCTTGGCCGATACTTCTGTTTTCGCAAACTTGTCGGCAGACTCTGCAATCAGCAAGAGCGTATCTGGCTGCATCTTCCGCCCTTCGGTGATGTTCCCGGTAACATCTGTGGTGCCTTCCCCGTTTGACCCTTCCCCTCCCCCCCAAGGGCGGCACTTTTTTCTCCTAAAAAATCTCAAGGAGTTTTTGTTTCACTGTCTGCACTTTTCACCTTTTTTCCATCTCATTGACTCATGCAATTTTGCCTCTCCAATAATCTGCGATTCTATTTTTTGATATCACAACACGCATGTACAATTAGGGAGTTCAAAGGTACGCACCTACATTTCCCATAAATATACCGATACTGATACTCATTTACACTGTGAGATTTTATTTTTAGGCAAATCAAAGTCTAGGTGGACATAGATGGAAAGTTATTCCCACGAAAGCCTTGTCTACCGACTCTGATGGTCATGGCATTTCGAGCGACTAACTGAGCGACTGGAAAAGGAGACCATTATCAGCTAGGCGTTGGGCAACCTTGTGAAAGAGGCCATCGGTCCCAGCGGCATTCACCGAGGCTGAATGCAGGATCTCTGTAGACCTGCGACACGAGTAACGTTTAACACAAAAGTATGTTGATAGGAACGAACAGGCAAGTTCCAGGAAGCGGTTCAGAAGAAGAAGATGTGAACGCTATAGCCAGGCGTTTATCGGCCTGATTAACAAACGCAACGTTCTAGTGGCTCCATATTCTGCACAGAGATATCGCCCTACTGCTAGCTACATTCTGGTAACATTTATTTATGGATTATTTTATTTGGAGGACGCAAGCAGCCAAAGGTTCCAGTGACAGCGATCGACATTGCCGAGTCATCATCACGCCAACGGCGATGCAATCGCGGCAACTCAGGACTGGGAAGCGGACGCTAAGCGCAACACCAGTGGCCATCAAAGTGCGCAAACCTCCATACGAGGAGTGAGGGAGCGAACGAAAACGAAACCAAAAATCGATCAGCTGAAGGCCGACAAGTTCAGCCAGATATTCAAATGGTTGGTCGATAGTGACAGTGGGCGCCGACCAAGCTCTCCGAAACGTCAGCACCAAACGAAAATTGTTTCGTTGAGCAAAATTTGGTTTTTGCAGATTTCCATAATAAAACTTTGGGAGCGATCATCGCGTCATGTACGACCACCGGCGATGAATCCGGAGCTGTTAATTGATGTAGGCACGTTGCAGCAGAGTAACTGCACCCTATAAATGCTTTACCCCATGCGTCCTCAACACCCTTATTTGCCACTGTCACTGATGATGGGTTCGAGCGAGAATCCGAAACGTCAGGCTAGTTAACGCCATGTTCCAGCGATCGCGAATTCTTCTTCTGAACAAAATAAGATTTTTTTTAGGAAACTCCTTGTTAGCAGAATACGCGTAACGTTGATCTGGAGGGCATGTGCCCCGAGCCGGGCTGTAGGAGATCACGATGTCTCTTTTCACCATAGAGGGGCGGGATTCAGATACCGAAACAATCCTCCAATCTGACAGTGCATCTGTCAGAATTAGCTTTCTCTATGCCGTTTTCTTATTCGCATTAACATTCAAACTCCCTGCAGAACGCGAAGACACTCTGAATGGAAGCGATGAATGACCTTTAAAAGCACAGGTATTACGAAGATACCGCATCAATTCTGATGCGAGTGGAACGCGATTTTGTGGAAGCTCCATTTGCTGCTGCAACAACACCTCCCCGGGCGCTTGTATTATAATTTAATTCGGAAAAACTCATTTATGTATATGTGCATTGTCTTGCAAAGACTGAACACAAAGGTGACATAAAGTTTAATCTGACCCAACTGTGAAAAATTCAGCGACCTCGGCGGGGTTTGAACCCACGGTTACACGCGCAAGGCTTGAGTATTAGTAATGCTCTAATCACCTCAACTGCGAGGCCCCCCCTGGAACCAGAAATTCAACAAAATTTGGGCAAGTTACCCACAGCGTATTGGATGCACCAATTCTGCTACAGTAAGTTGACTGCCCAAGCAAGATTTCCAAAAGTCTACCTTTAGAAAAGGGAGGATTATACCGGCCTTTTAAAGCATGTAGTGCTACTTCATGAAAGGTTACATGAAATTATAAAAGTTGTTTCCATTTAAAAATATTAGTTAGGTGTGTTGTAATAATAATTATCGAGCAGCATAAGTCCAAGATAGTTAAGTCACGTCAGTTATGGTAAAACTGCATTGTAGGGCCCCCTAAATATATATTCCCCGCACAACTGTCTAACGTATTTTGTGGTCAAACATTCAATTCTTGGCTAGTGAGTGTAAATGAATATTTAATTTGCCAATACAAGCGAACATGCAAGTCAAAGGAAGTAATTGAAAAGAAGAGGACTCGATCGCTGGGACAATACTTTTATTCGCCTGACGTTTCGAAATCCGTAGCGGATTCGTCATCAGCGACATAGTCAAAGAGCAGTAGTAGAAACGGGTAATACATGCACAGGCCCGCAATCCGTAAACAAGTGCGCGATTTGTCCAATTCTTATTCGGTGCTGTAACTCAATTTGGCCAAAGCAATTCGCCACTTGGGGTACGGACAAGCCTACGCAAACACCACAGAGCCAGATGGCCGAGCAATAATCACGCTCCAGTCCACCACGCGTGATGAAATTTTAACAGATCAGAGCCCGCATGCCCTCAAACAAACAATCCACGCGCAAGAATGCCATTAACGTAAATTGTCTCCGCATGTTTGCAGCAATGACTGTGTCCCATAAATACTGCAGACCCCTGTGCATGTATTATCAGTTTCTGCTACCCCTCTTT